CCGGCTAAGTTTAACTCAAACAAATTATGTCTGTCGGAAATTGGAACTCCCAACTTTATTAAAGAGAAAACAAGTCCTTTACAAAGCGATAGCCGTGATTGAAAGTAACTTGGGGCCTCATATTAAAAAAGGATCCCCTTATTGGAGAGGGAGGGTAATTCCAAACAAGTGAATAAGTGAAATAAATCTTATGAGAAAAATATCGAGAAACCTCGGGATGTTTTTATCCTCATTAATTTGTTTATCCTTGGAAAGCGTATTATATTGCGAGGGAAGTAAAATTGTAGGTATCAGTCGAGTTAAAAAGGGGGAAATCGATAAAATTAGTAATTTTATGTAGTTAGTTCATAAATATCTCGGAAAAATATCATTTCTAATTTCTTGCTGTACATTGTATCCAAACATAATTTCATTTATTTATTTATTTATTTATTTATTTAAATATACATGGTTATATGACATTGCACCCCCTATTTTAAAGGAATTAGGCCAATTCAAACAATTTCCAGAAAAAAAAAATCAAATGAAGCAANATATCACACATATTTAAAAAAAAACTTAAAAAAACTGTAACAAATTATCATTTCATATTTTTTTCAACTCTATAATCTGGCGAATGCGCTAGTAATAACAATATGTCAAGACATTCAAACGGCATTTATTACATGTACATTCTTCAAGAATCTCAAATCATCGATGTTAGAGTTGCTATTTGTTTGTGAATAAACCTTAGGAAAAAGTATACGAAAACACCATATGATGCTGATATATTATAAATACTGGGGTTATGTAAAATCACTTCCTGGTTTGTGATTACGAAAATCGCACTGACCTTAATGGTTATAACTTTTTAGTGCCCTTTCGAAAGACTTATATCGCAGTAAAGGAAGGTTCCGCTTACGTACGCAATAAGGAAACAATTTTAGAAAGCACTTTTCACCACACCGGAACGGTAGAGATATAAAGGGACTTTTAAAATCTGAGCTAAACGAAAAACAGAAATGGAGTGTACCTAATGGAGTATATAATGAGTATATGTAGGGTAAATATTACCCGCTAATTTGAAAAATTAAAGGAAATATATTTATTTAGCTTACTACGTATCTATCAATGAACTGAATTCTTCTTAAAAATTTGCCTAAGGTAATTTTAAAGGTAAAAAAAAATTAAGATTCACTTCTGATCTGAAGTTACGCTGATCCTCTTTTGGGATGTCATTGGCCACTTCTAAGAAAAAAATTATTACTACTTGATACCATACGATTCAATCAAAACGTCTGGCATCATAGAACTAGAACCATCAGACTCTAATTTGCTTGGACATTTCAAGGAATCAAAAGGCATTTGCGAAACCAGATAATAATGGAGCAATTGAGATTAAAATCTACACCAAAAGGTGTCTTTGTAAAGAGTATAGAACAAAGTGTATGAAGAAGGAGGACTATGTCAAACTGAAACAATTTTTGTAACTGTTTTTGTGATAATATTATTAACAATCCTTTTATTTGACGGCATGCCAACAAAAATTGGAACATTTGGCAATTAACCATCTACAACACTTTGCGACCTGAAATAAAAAACTAATGAACTAGAAACCGACTGAATATTGCCAGAACTTTCACTTGGAGTGACATTCTGTTAAAGGCAATTAACTTTCTAGAACCTGATTCATTTACTGTTGGCTAATATTGCTGTTTTGACGTTTAATCACAATGTCTGAGAAAAGTTACGCTCTGAAATCATTCAATGAAAACAGTCTTTATGAATCCATATTATACTTGTGAAATACCAAGGATGAATATGGCATTATGTGTAATCTTTGGTTTAATTAGTTACGAACTTGTTATTTTCTCTTCGCAGTTATATGAAGCAAAATCGATACTCAATCATATAAAGTTTCATTTTACAGACAGAAACTAACTGTATTACATATTCGTTATGTATTTCTTGACAAAGCAAAGCAATACAATATATACGTAGTACATGAATTTTAGATAAGTCACCGGGGTTTTTAACAGGGTGTTTCAGTCAAACCGACCTCGCTTTTACATCATCATTAAGGATGTTTGAAAATGTTTGTAATTTCTAAGTACATTAAGAATATGGTTGTTCCTTAAAAACCCCCTGTATATCATAACATATGACTATGGATTTTCTTCCTCTGCTTGCAGGAATCATAAAAAAATATTATTCGTTTTCTTTTCACCAAATATATTTCTTCATAATTGTGATAGTCCTTAACATTTTTTTTTTATTTAAGTAAATAGATTTAATTCACAGCAGAAAAATAATAACTGTTATTTGTTTAAGTACGTATACAAATAAATATTGCGGTTTTTAATAATTATGTTTTTCTGAGTATTACTATACTGGTCAACGATCTTTTGTTTACTTGTTTTGTAAGCATCTATTGTTTTTTATTTACTTGTAACTCCGTTACAAAAGGAAAAATTGATATGTACTTAGCCGTTAGTATTTAATCATTATTTTTGTACAAACAACTTGCGTACAGTAATAAAGAATGTCAATACAAAGGGAGGTGGAAGTTTTAGCAAACCTTTTTTTTTTAAAATGTCTAGACAATTCTTTAGAAGCAAGTATTTGTAGGAAACGAACTCACAATACAGATATCTAAATTTTAAATATAATCATCATAAAGGAAGATGTAAATGTTTGTTTGTTCATGTTCATGAAGAATATAATAGTAAACAATCAAATACCTGGGAATTTGGTTGAGAGAGCTTTTAAGAATATTGAAAATTAAATAAATTATGACCCGACCTGTAAATATTAGGATGACGAGTACAAAGATTACATTCAAAAAGGGAATTTTGGAAAATAAAAAATTAAATGGCGTTCGGTCAAAATTTTTTAAAGAAAATTAAAGACCGCGGTGATTTTATTATCCAACGTCCCGGAAAAATTAAATTCAACCATTGCCTGACAGCTAAGGTACTATGTGCCGGAGCCCCGTCATGCATGTATCACATAACTTGTCGTACACCTAGTAGTATATCCTCCAATAATATTGGGAGATTTTCCTTTAAAAATCGAAGATATTCAAGAGCTGTCAGTCGACGGGGAAGAATAAATGGACCTATTAGAGCATCTCCAACAATTCCTGACAATACATTTACACTAAAATTGTGCTGAAATCTTGATGGACATATTTCATGGGAGTTTTCATAAGACCATGTATGACTATTACGATGGTTAACTAAGCCATATCTTTGAAAACATGCCTCATCGGTGAACAAAATATGAGATAAAACATTTAAGTCGTGTCTGGACATGTTAAGATACCACTGACAAAAAACAATCCTTGCAGGTAAATCATTTGCAGTTAATTCTTGAACCGGCTGGTGGTGAAAAGGGCGTAAAAGGTTATCATGAATCAAGTTCCAAACAAGGCTTTGCGAAACGTACTGTGTAGCCAGTCTTCTTGTACTTGTTTGAGGATTTTCTTCTAAATTGATAAGTATAGCTTCTTCAAGGTTTACATTTCTGATATACCGTCTTTGTCCATTACCCTCACGCTTAGGTTGAATTTGGCCAGTTTCTCGCAACCTTCTTTCCACAGCTGAAAAAGTTTGCCTGTGGGGAACCCGGCGATTTGGATATCTCTCATGATACAATCTTGTT